TCGGTATAGGATTTCGGGATTCCATAGCGTTTTCCATTCGAGGGAGGATAACTACGGAGGATCAGCGATTTACCTGAAAAATTGCTTCAACTACAACCGAGTGAGCATAGAAAACCTATCGGAAAGTACACAAGCTGTAGCAGTTGTTATACCGAGCAAGGAAATGGCAGTTGCATCAGTGTATATTACTCCATCAGCGACAATTGAGAATTTCGAACAAGACGTTACAACAATTTTTGAAGCATTAAAACATTACAAAAACGTGCTAATAGGAGGTGATTGGAACGCGCACCATGTGACGTGGGGAAATGACAAAAATGACAGAAAAGGCGGTATCCTTATGGATCTAATTAATCAATACAACTGGATGATCCTGAACGATGGAAGCAGCACGTTTGTACCTATACAACTGAACACGCGAAGCACAGCGATTGATGTTTCACTGTGTTCTGCTAATCTGTATGGAGAACTAGAATGGTCCGTTCTGGATTTTGGAGTTGGGAGCCACCATATGGCGATACAAATCGCTGTGAAGGAGGCGCAATACAAAAAGGAAGGAAAATGGATCTATAATAAGAAGAAAATCAACGAACGACTGTCAACGCTGGATCAAAACAAGATTCGCTCATGGGGCGATCTCACAGAAAAGGTGCAGCGGATCCACAAAGAGAGCAGACAACGAGACAAGCGTACACCCAAATACTGGTGGTCACCGGAAGTAGAAGAGGCGTGGAGAAGAAAAACAGAAGCAAGAAGGGAGTTCAACAAGAAAGGCAGCGTAGAAAATTTGATAAAGTTCAAGAAAGAAGCGGCAGTGTTCCAGAGGAGAAAAAAGGAAGAGAAGAAGGCAAAGTGGGAAGAATTCGTTGAGCAAATAAGTCCTTTGTCCAGCTCTAAGGAGCTCTGGGAAAAGATCGGAAGGCTTACGGGGAAAAAGTTCCATAGGAAGGAAAATAACCTTCTTTTGGATGACCCGGACCTAGCAGAACAATTCCTAGATTTACATTTTGGGAAGAACAGCCCGGTAGATACGTTTCGCATCGATGGAACATCTGCAAACTACGACATACTGGATGAACAAAAATGGAACAGGATCGTCACGGCTAAAAAGCCGAATTCTGCACCAGGTGAAGATAGGATTACTTACGGAATGCTGAAGCAGCTACAACCGGGTGTCGTGAAGCAATTATTGGAAGATTTCAACGGACAATGGCGAAGAGGATATCCGGAAGAACAGCTGAAAACGATCAAAATCGTCGCCATACCCAAACCAGGTAAGGATCAGTCGAAGCTGGAAGGAAAACGTCCGATTTCTCTGGTTCCAACTTGTACTAAAGTTGTGAATACAGCCGTATTAGAGGGACTTAAAGCTGCTTTAGAAGCAAACAACGTACTCCCTTCAAAGTCGTTTGGTTTCCGTAAGGGCCTATCGACGAATACGTGTGTATCCTATGTCGTCAACAAAATTATGGGGAACAAAAGAGATGGTAACTTAACCAGTATTATTTTTGTGGACCTAAGTAACGCTTTTTGCAACGTGAAAGTGGACACACTTGAGAAGGTTATGTCCGAAAATCGGATACCTTCAGAGTTGAGTTGTTGGATAACAAATTTCCTAATCAATAGAAAAATATCCTTTCAAACAAGTGAACAAACGTTGACACGAACAATAAGTGAAGGCCTCCCCCAAGGGGATGTTTTGTCCCCCACACTTTTTAACTTATATACAGCCCAAATGCACACCATAAATGTCGAAGGAGTTGAGTTGGTGCAATACGCTGACGACTTCGGCATCATCGTTACGGCAAAATCGGTGGAAATGCTGAAAACATTGGGACAAACTTACCTGGACTGTTTTGTGGAAAAATCGACGAACCTTAACCTCACCGTCAACCCATCAAAAACCAAAGCTATTCTATTCCAATCTAGCAACAAATCGCTTGATTACCAAATTGATGGGACGGTAGTGGAAACCGTAAGGTCCCATAAATATCTTGGAGTGACTCTCGATAGAGCACTAACATTCGGGAAGCACACAAAGGAACTGAAAGAGAAGGTCAACGAGAGGCTTAATATGATCAAAGTCATCAGCGGAGTGAAGGCTGGTGGGCATCCGGAAACTATGCTGAATATACATAAAGCACTTATTCGGAGCACGTTGGAGTACGGATCTACGGTATATAACAACGCAGGAAAAACAAACTTAAATTCGCTAGCAGTAATAAGTAACCAAAGTCTTCGGAAAGCAACAGGATGTACTAAGAGCACACCTCTAAATACGCTTCTGGCGGTATCTGGACTGGAGTCTCTATCGATCAGGCACGAGTACATCACAGGAAAGGAGATTGCACGGAACATCGCACGGAAAACTGCAGTTGGAGACCAACTGACCGGAACCACCATCAGAAATGATACCGATGATAACAAGAAAAGTTTCATGGAACAGGTTTTCCTGAAACATTTCGGACTATTCGACGCTATCATGCCAATCAAAAGAAAATGTCCAGCATACCCGGGGATAACTATCAATCCGACATTAGAAGGACTGGTTTTGTCTAAGGGAAATACGAATCCGCAACGCCTCAAACAACTGGTACTTTTTGCATTCAACGGAACACACAAAGGACGCAGAAAAATTTTCACTGATGCTTCGAAGGAAGGACAAGTGTGCGGCATTGGAATATACGTCGAGGGAACGAATAGAAGACTTTCTTTTCAACTGGCAAATGAAGTAAGCATCACAGGAGCAGAGCTGGCAGCGATCAGAGTAGCCTTGGATGCGGTAGCAGAGGAAAATTTGACGGATGCAGTGATTTATACGGATTCCCGATCTGCGTGTGAAATTTTGGAAGAAGCGAGGGAACAAGAAGAACGAGAAGAACTATTGGAGGAGATCCTGACAGCTGCGGCGAAGTGGCGAGTTTCCCTACAATGGATACCAAGTCACATCGGAGTAAACGGCAATGAAATTGCAGACCGACTAGCGAAAAGTGGTGCTGCAAGTGGACAAGTGATACTGGAAAACAAAATATCGTATAAGGATGCATACTGGATCCTGAAAAGCCAAAAATCATCGAAGACGGACGAATGGTACAAGGAGTATGCAAAAGATAAAGGACAAAAATTTTTCCAAATCCAACAAGATTTCAGGCCAAAACCGTGGTTTATTGGCCTCGGACTGACCAGCATACAAGTTCGTCAACTGAATCGGTTGATGGCCGGACATGACTGGTCAAAGTATTGGAAGCACAAGATGAAACTAACAGACAATCCGGACTGCGAATTATGTGGAGAATTAGAGACAGCGGAACACCTAATCATGCACTGTGAAAAGTTCAGGACCATTCGACACAAATACTCATTTGGAATCCACAACAAGCTAATTGATGTGTTCAAAACAAAAAATGTGAATATGTACAAGGAAATCACCGATTTTGTGAAAGAAGCAGCTTTGGATCTATGAGGAGCCTCAGCTGTGGTCAGAAGACCGTCAACAAAAACAGCAGGGCATATAGTCTCAGCAACTGGCCCTGAAACTGGCAAGTTCGTTTTCGAGCTCGCAACCAGAAAGAAGAAGAAGAAGAAGAAGGCAGGTAACAACTTCCATGCTATGCAGGCCCACGTAGCGCAGCTGCTGAGAACTAAATACGCCAATTTTCAACACCGTTTCACGGACGGCTCTTAGGCGGTGGGGAAGGTCGGATTCGGAGTAGCGGATGTATCCAATAGTTTCTTCTTTCGACTACCCAATCAGTGCTCCGTCTTCTCGGCGGAGGCTGCGGCCATCCACTTCGCTACCACCACACCCACCAATAAACCCATATGTGTCCTAACAGACTCCGCCAGTGTTTTACACGTCTTGAACTCGGTCATTGCAGTATCCGGGGCAACTGTGAAGCGGATCATCTCGCTGCCACTGGGCGCTCTGGCTGGATGGCTACCACAGTTGTTCCCAGTTTGGACATAAACACATGGGTGAAAGCATCCCTCCGAGAACCGTGGGCCCGGGAGTGGTTCGCAAAAAGGGGACCGTTCCTGAGAAAAATAAAGGGCGACACCTCCAAATGGAATAACACTACGAGCCGATGGGAACAACAGGTCATATCCCGGCTTTGATCCGGACACACCCGAGTGAACCACAACATGGGTAGCGCTACCTCTTTTCGGAAGCTTTGCGACTCTTGCAACACGATTATGACAGTCGAACACCTGATTGTTAAATGTCCCTGCTTCCATAACATCCGGGTACTCTACGGAATACCGGCACAGCACACGTAAAGCCCTTTCTAATGATTAGTCCACGGAAGCAGCCCTAATAGTTTTCCCAAAGGTGCTGGATTGTTCTATAAAATATAATCACCCACCCTCTCACTTTACAAAATGACTACGCCTCGAACATGGACACCACTGGAATAAGCTTGGATATCATGACGATTAAATGCCTTTTCAATTATGCATGAAACAATATCAACGCTCAAGGACTTCATTTACCCCCTGGCGATAATAGGTCTTAGGTATTGTCGAAGCCGGCATTTCACCTACATGGATTATGCCAAAAGTCCACGCCACTCTGCACTACCTCGTGATTTCTAACAACAAGGTGTCGCCTTTATCTCCCGAAACTGCTGGGATGAATGAGGAGCTCACATTATTCGTAAATATTGCGCTATACAATCGAGTTGATTGGAAAGCCTCGATCGAACAAAACTAATCTCGTACGTAAATGGCCATCAGGATGTATCATAAACACACACATCCAATTCAAACACTATTGAGTTCCAACCCTGCACCGATAATCTGAAAATCTGTTTGGACAAATTATTTACAAAAACAAACCAACAGAAGTTCGATTTACTCTGAGCGCGCTACGGGTAAACAGCAGCCCCGCATCTATCGCACCAATCCATTTAATAAATGGTTATAATATAGTAGGAGGAGCACGCGCCCCAGGATGTTATGGTTAGAGAACTGGCGCCGAGCAACGTGCAGCGGAAATTTACCTGCGGGAAGAACGGCGCAATCACCGGTCCGGTGACATCATCCTCGCGCTCCAAGTTGACCACCACATTGACCGATGAGCCGGAATGGATACGGTCCTTATCGACCACCTCGAAGGTCATCTCGATGTTCGGGTAACGATTGCAGAACCTGGCCACGTCGGACATTTGCTGATCGTTGAGCTGCAGCAATCGGATCCGATCGTCATCGTCCAGCTCCATGATGTCGAACACGGTTTCGATGTTTTTTTCCTGGCAGCGCTTGATGATGTCGGCATTGAAGTGGGGTAGCTGCTTCAAGTAGGAATCCTTGCTCCACATCGCTTGGGTGACCATCTGGGCCAGCTCCATGGCAGCAACGGCCGGCGACAGCCACCCGTTGGACGAGAGCACATCGACACACGCTTGGATGAGACGGATCGCTTTACCCAAGGACTGTTCCGTGTCACCTTGCAGCTCGGCACCCAGCTGGAGACGCGACAGATGCGCCTGCAGCAACAGGTTGGTCTTGATGTGAGGGTCGTTGTACCTGGCGGGGAAATACAATAATCATTACTTGGTCGGTAATAGGCTGAAATCCTCAAATACTTACTTGGGAGCCGTTCCATTGGGTCCGGTCAGCTTATTGGGCAACCGTTGGGCCAAACTCCTCAGAATGTTATCTTCGTGGTGCCTCACCACGACATCTTCGTACTCCGCCGCAGACGAGATGATCTCCAACAATCCACGGATCTTGGTCTTGCTGTTCAACGACAAACTGAACAATTCAATCGTTGTGTAGTTGATGTAGTAGTACGCAGCGATCATGCCCAGATTCAATGGCAGCGTATCCATTTCGTCTTCGACGCTGATACACTTGGACTGTTCCAGATCGGAAAGTGTGGTTTCGACCAGTTCCGAAAGATGATCCGACAGGTGACGGTGAGTCACGCCTTGAAGGTTGTAGTAATTCGGATTCTGAGTAAGCCGGCGGTACAGGAACGTCCAGGTCAGATAGTCCACGGCGTCTTGCTTGTTTTCGATCGTCTTCGTGACGATCTCGGCATTGAAATGATCGTGCAAACGATGATCCAGATGGCTTTCCACCGGTAGACTTTCGTTGAGGAATTTCTTAAAGAAGTCCTTCTTGGAACTCTGACACATAAGGACGCACTTGGCATCGTCATCTTCCAGCGGACGGTTGGCACGACCTACCATCTGCATAACATCCGTGACCGGGTAATCATCGTAGGAATGACTCTTACCATTGTAGAACTGAGTGTCCATGATCACCACCAAGTACGCGGAGATGTTCAATCCCCAGCAGAGGTCTCGGGTGACGACAGCAATCTGCACTGCCCCGGAGTCGAACAGCTGTTCGACAATGCGGTGATCGGAAGGCGTCAAACCTTCGTGAATGTATGCAACACCCTGCGAGAGGGTTTCCTTCAACGTCTTATCGGCCATTCGGTCCAAGAATGGTTTGATGTCTTCCTCTTCAGCGTGGAAGAATCGGTTGGGCTGAGCTTCCGCTGCGCAGTACGTCAGAATATCGATCGCCGTCAGGCGAGCCAGTTTTCGCGACGAGACAAACACAATGACCGGTTTGTGCGGGCTGAACTTGGTGATCGCATTGTAAACCGGCTTTGACATGGCTGCAACCCTCGAAGCATTGTGGGTTATGTTGAATCCCTGCACGTGCAGCTCCATTGGGATCGGACGAACACTCGGATGGAAGTTGAAGGTAGCATTCGCATTACAACCCAACCACTGGGAAACGTCCCTTGCATCCGACAGAGATGCAGACAAAGCAATGATACGGATTTGCTTCTCGATCTGGGACGAAATGTAGCGCATTCGAGAGCATACCACTTCCAAGACGGGACCTTCCTCTCCTCCGATCAACTGCAATTCATCCACGATAAACAGCTGAATGTTCTGGACGTTCTTCCTCTGCTTCCAACGACGCGACAGGATATCCCACTTATCCGCAGTCGTTACGATGATCTGGCCCTTTGCAATCAGTTTCAAATCCGTACCGGTTTCACCGGTCAGTTTGACGACCTTGCATCCCAAATGCTGCCCAAACTTCTGGTGCCAGTCCATGAAGACCAGCTCCGCGAGGGAATCTCTCGATACAAGGTAGGCAACCCTTCCGTGAGGATTCTGCTGCAACATTCTTAAAACTGCAAATTCCGCGATCGTCGTTTTTCCCGATCCGGTGGGAGCTCCCACAAACACATTGTCTTCACTGTTGTACACGGCATTAAACACCTGGGTTTGAATAGGATTAAACTGCGGGAACTTGTCCACATACAGCTGCTCAAAGTTTGGCTCCCGAAGGGCACTGATGGGAAGGGGTTGCAAATCGAGAAGCTCCGTCGGCGGGAGATTCTTCTCCGGTAGAATCAGATGACGGAACGAAACCGGCAGTTGCGTTTCGGATCCGATCCACCGATCGGAAACGATCCTCAAAAAGTACTGCGGTGGTAACGGTTCGAAGACCGGTACAAAGAACTTGACCAAGTGATCGTCCTGGCAGTACTTGGCCTTCAGCAGGAAGTACTCGTGATGAAGGATTACTTCCGAGTCGACGTCCTCCACCAGAATCCAGAACGCTTCCGATTGACCGTGGATCTTCTCATCCCACTGGAAATCCGGGGTGATCGTCAGTTCAACCCGCAGCGTGGATCGCGTGATCGGTTGAATGTGGGTCGACAGTTCCAGCTTTGGGAACTGATGCACGTACTTGTAGATCGTTTTGCCCAACTTGGGAACACGGATCAACTCTCCTATTTCGTTTGCCTCCAGATCGTACAACCGTTCCCAGGGGAAGTTCTTCTTCTCGATCTTCTTAACGATCTCTTCGGGCATTTTGCGGAACTGTCGCAACGGGGACATACTCTGCCACATTCGTCGGTCGATCATCTTGCACAGCGTTAGGCATTTGTCTGCCAGTTGGGCCCACTCCCGGTGGAGGACGATCTCAAAGATCGCTCGTAGCAAACGGGCAGCAGATTGCGTTACGTAAACCATATCGGCCATAAGGGCGAATCCTTCTAACTTCAGCTGCGAGATGTACGCTTGCAGCAGGACGTTGACTTTTGCGCTGGGTTCCTCCATGCTTTCCTTGATCGGAATTGGCACGCGCTCCATCAGCTTCTGTAGTTCCAGCTTCTCTTCCTCACGGACCGTGATGTTGCGGAACTCACCGGACAGCGAAAACACACGGAACAGTTCGATCTCGCTGAGTGTGGGTTTCAGCAGTTGGTTGTAGGTCAGCATGGTTTCGTGGGTGCAGTAGTAGTGGGAAGCGATTCGGCCGATTTCCGTCACCTGGAAGTGACCACTTTTGCGATCGTACTTAATTAGACCGCTTTTTTCGAGATGCAGCGCAGCCGTATGGATCAAATCGGCACGGAATTGTTCCAGCAGGGGATCTTCCTTGATGGCATCGTACGAGACTCCGTAGAGAGTGGGCTGGCGGAGCATTCGGATGTACAGGTAGGTGTATCCGAGCCAAGTTACGGCATCCTTGACGTTTTGAATCGTTCCGAGGACTATCTCGGCGTTCAGCATGTCGGGCATCTTGGAGACCAGTTGCGATTCGATCGGCAGTTGTTGGTTCAGGAGTGATAGGTAGTACTGCAGTTCGCTGTGGTTGGTGATAAGGATGCCTTCGCCCTTGGTATCGTATTGAGGACGACCGGCACGACCAAGCATCTGGAGGACGTCCAGCGCGCTCAGTTCAACCCAGCGACCTTTCTCCGGGTTGTAGATTTGAGTTCCCTTGATGATAACGGTATGGGCCGGTAAGTTGACACCCCAGGCTAGGGTAGCCGTCGAGACGAGCACCTGGATGTGACGATCGGCGAACAGATCTTCTACCAGGGTTCGGTCTACGCGGGTCATACCGGCATGATGGATGGCGAAACCGTACGGGAGTAGATCCTTGAGTTCGGCATTCTTGACCTGGTCGGCTTCCGATCTCAACACCTCCATGCTAGCCGAACCTTCGCGAAGGAAATTTCCCAGCGTATCCTTCTCCAGACACATGTCCCGAATGGCGCGAGCAGTTTTTCCCGTCTCCTTCCTGGAATGGACAAACACAAGAACTTGGTTCTTGCCGGCATGTTCCATGACCTTCTCGTAGACGATGTCGTTCATCACTTGGAACCGCTTGAGGGCTTTTTTCTCCGTGACTCCGATGTACTGCTGCTCCAGAGCTACTGGCCGGAAACTGTTATCGAAGTAGAATAGCCCAGTTTCCGGGCGAACGCGGAGGAAAGTCGCTACGTCGTGGTAATTTGGCAACGTGGCAGACAGTCCCACCAATCTGACGTCCTCCTGGGTAGTTTCAATGTTCCGAATGGTTCTGGCGACAAGGGATTCCAGAACCGGACCACGTTCGTCGTGAAGCAGATGGATTTCATCGATGATCACCAACCGTACCAGCTGAGTGTAGGTCTTTTCACCTCCCTTTCTGGTGATGATATCCCACTTTTCTGGAGTGCATACGATGACCTGAGTAGCAGCTATCTGCTCCCGACTTAGCTGATGATCTCCAGTCAACTCCGAAACCGTAAGGTTGTACGTTGCCAGACGCTTACCGAAGTTGCCCACCATTTCCTGTACCAAGGAACGCATCGGAGCAATGTAGATAATCTTGAACTCATCCACGTTGATCGTTCCGTCGTCGTTGATGTGCTTTCCGATCTCCCGCATCATCGTTAGCAGCGCCACGTTGGTCTTACCAGCACCCGTGGGGGCACAAAGCAGCAAGTTTTCATCGCTCTCCAGGGCCGCTTTGTACAACCGACTCTGGATTCGATTCAACGTTTTGAATCCGGCAAATACCGGTTGGACATACTTGGGCAGCTTATCGATTACCATCAGTTCCTCTTCCTCGTCGAATGCTTTCGGTTTCAAGGCTGGAACGTGCACTTCTTCGTATCCTTTTCGTTGTTTCCTGAAACTACCATCCGGCAGCTGACAGCGCTTGTTTGCCATCAGGTGAGATCCCTGCGTGAAAGCCAGCTCATCCAACTCCAGTACGGTCCTGCTGCCCGGAATCTGTCCTCCAATCCCCTCCATGTTGTCATCATCCTGCTCCTTCCTTCTGCGTTGCATCTTCGACCTTTCGCTCTCGTAGTCGTCCACCTCCTGTTTGCCAGTATCCAGTTGTCTCAGAATCTTTGCCAAATAGGAATCTCCCTTCATCTTCTCCCGTATCTTAACCCGCTCGCTTTCACTCTGCGAAGACGCCAACATCGTACAGTACAGGATCATATGCCGATTTTTCTTCAGCTGTTTAATGAAATCGAAACAATCGTAGCCCAGCAAGAGAACCAGCTGATTCTCGCACTCCCGATCGTCTCCGACGTCCTTGAGTACAGTCAACACTTCCCCTGCCTTGGCCTGCGACATCATCGAATCGTTGTAGTACTTGCGAAGACAACGCTGCAACCAATGGGCATCGATGTCCCGTGGATCCAGAGCTTTCTCCTTCTTGCCTTCCTCGTTGCCACCAAGCTGAAAATGAATGTTCGGTTATTCTGTTATTCAGTTCAACATTTCAAATTTAAGCTCTTTAAATGAACGATTTACTCACATTCTCAGCGTGCAAAATTCCATCATCCCTGGCCTCTTCACCCTCGTCCGGCATGTCTTCATCGCGAATTTCTCCGTACTTATCTTCGTCGCTCTCCTCTTCCGACTCTTCAAACTGCACGTTAATCCCGTACGTATCGTCAATTTGTTCCTCCCCACCCACTCCGATCGCACTGCTGGCATCCGATCCGAAGTCGGTGATCTTCTTGCCCAAATTAACCAACAGGGCAAACCTCTCATCGGCCACCGTTCCCAGGAGGCCATCGATCTCCCGCTTCCGCTCGCGATCCTTCATTTTATCGTTCTTCAGCACGGTCAAAATCTCATCGGCCGCACCACACAGGATATCTCTCGGCTGATCCCCGATTGCTTCCTGGATAAAACTAAGAAGCACCTCGTACGTCTGTCGGGTTTCCTGCGTCTTCGGTCGATAAACGATCCCTACCATCTCGTCTATTCCTTCCGACAGCAGAGTGGCTCCTTTCATACTGTTGAAATCGTACTGCGCTTCATCACGCTTCTGACGCCTAATGAAGAAAATCAATCCCATTAGTTTCTCCCAGCAAATCCTCGAATCTAATTCTAACTTACTTCGCCTTCCGCTCTTCCGTCTTCTCCGGTTTGGTCCGCTGGGCACGATCACCCATCCGCGTTCCCTCCAGCTTCCCGACCAGGGAAAGCACCTCACCGGTAGCTTCATCCCTGCGTGGTCGTTCGATCAAGCGGACATCCGCTTGCAGGACCAAATTCGAATTCTGAAAAGCAGAGCAAATGTAAACAAAACGTTTGCCGTGCGTTTTCCCTCGGCTGCTGCTGCTCTGCATCCATCTTGAAACGCCCGTCCAAGGAGGTTAGTGCGTCGCAACACTTTCAATCGATTTTATTCCACCGGAATGGAACTTACCGCTTTGTACTCGTACTGCAGCTGGCGTGCCGCTGCGTCAGCCATGGTTTTTCACTCTTTCTACCAGCGCAGCATGCAAAAATGTATTGGAAAATCAAATTTACCTTTCCGCGAAATAGAATTTTCCTCGAACAGCACTGCGAAAACGTTTGTTTTGACGCATCACACCGCATCCGAACGGTGCTAGCTATTTACCTGGCCCTTTCCAGATTCATCCCAACGACAGAACTGTCAAATTATTGCAGTGTTCATTTTCCAAGTTCATCGTAGTTTGTTTTGTGTGTTTCAAAAGTGCAAGTGGATGCGTTTGGTGGTGCACTCGGAATTCGGGATTTCCGGTGCTTCCAGGATGAATGTAGTGCAATCGAACATCTCCACGACGATCCGGAGCTTCAACATATCGGACGACATACGAATCGAGGTGAAAAAGTTCCGCACCGATGCAGGAATCGACGAAATTGATATCGAGGAGGACGAGGATGATATCTGTAAGAAAGAGGGCGTATGCTGGTTGTAGTTTTTGTTTTGTTCTGGATTCAGATTTGAAAAGGGAAGTTAGAAAAAAAGGATGATTTGGAAAGAAAATATTTTCAGTCAAAATGAAAATAGATACAGCACAGACAAACAGACAAATAACACATTGAATCTCACTGTAAAACACTATCGCCATCTGTTGAATACACAGTCATGAGTAGTAACAGATGGCGGTAAAGTAAACGGCAAACGCAAGCGAATTAACTATGCGCGCCACAAGTGGCGGTACTGCCAACTAAAAAAAAAAACATTTAAATTGTCCGTTAAATCCGTGATAGATGATAAACTTGTTAGTTTTATGTATGTTTGTCTGTGGACACCCTCTGAACTGGGAACCAAAAAGAATCGGGACTTTGATTGGAACCTTCCAATTCTGTGTCTGATATCTCGAATATTTCTCGTGGAATCTTAGCCCATATTTTCGTTTTCGTTCGAACCATATATGGGTGCTTGAATATTCCTAAAACCATTGGCGTCCTTGGGGGGTGTAATGAAAATAAGTAATTGTAGTAACAATTCTTGAGGGGGCTACATTATCCCTGTAGTTACGCCAATGCCTATAATTCCGGAGCTCTTAAGTTTTCCTTAGTATAGCATGCCATAAATTAAGTCTGATGCAAGGGATTTACCTCAGAATTCTTTGAAATTCTTCTCAAAATGTCCATGAGACTCTCTCGGCAAATTTCCTCCAAATCTCCTGGGATGCTACTCGTTATTTTCTGGAATTATGCTCGAAATTCTCTGTGAATTCTCCTTTTTAGAACAATCCCAGACAGAGCGCTAGAAGTTGGATGAATAAGAAATCCCTAATAAAATTTATATGGTTATTTTGCTTAACGACGTGTTCAGGGTATCATCTAAACCATTTGTGGAACAGTCATCATTTATCGTTTGGTTATGGTATTTTTTTATTAGGAATGCCCGATCTTTTAAAGTACGTTTCCGCAGATTGCATTTCAGTATCCTAAACCCTAACGTTACAACTTCTCACCAGCCGTCATCCAGAAAATACAGAAAACCTTCGCCGATCCCAGTGAAACCGAATTCGACCCGGAAACGCTAAAGTCGATCATAGCCCGGCTGGACGATATCGAGAAGAAACTTGAGAACATCATCTACATTAATGCACAGGCGGACAGCATAAGTGCGGTGCAGATGAACGGTTTACTGAGTCGGCAATTCATTGCTGCAACTCCGACTGCTCTGGCCATGGCACAGGTGGCTCAATCTCCTCCTGCAGAACCGATGCAGGTGCAAGATGAGGTCGTTGATGAAATTCATCTCGAAATGGACTCCGACGACAATGATCTCATCGCAGAGTTCATCGAGCAGGACGAGCTGAAGCTGGTTGAATTCCCCATCAATCGGGTAGATGATCTGCGAGAGCTGGAAGAATCGATTACGAGTGATCAGGAGTCTTTTGTTTCGTTTGTAAGTTTGAAACGTAGCAGCTTGTAAAAGTACATTCTGAGAAAGATATTTCTTTTTAAGGTCAATTTCCTGGGAGCAACCATACAGAAGCACAGCCGTAATCTTGAACCAATTTTGAGAGATTTTGTCACGGAAAGCCTCATCAATGAGCTTGGTTTTAACGAAGCTGAAATAAACATGATGTCGTTCTATATCTTCAACCAGTTGCTCTACGGTATAGTTTTTTTTTATAATTGTTTAACTGAATCCTTCTTATAAATCTGGTAAAATTATAATTTTAGATATTTGGAAGACCGAATATTCGACTATGAATGACTACCGGAATCAGCTAAGAAAAATCGCCTGCAAGATACAGAATCGAAATCGTGCTACAAGAGGTAGACAGAGATAAACCAAAAAGCAGTCAATAAACTTCTTTCACGTGGGATTATTTTTGTTTTCCTCTTAACTTTTCTATACTTAACTTCCTATAGTCCTGAGAAATGTCTCCTGGTGAGGAAACCAAAAATATCTTTATCTTGACAAAATTACAAACGATGACGATTGGAAATTTTTCTACAAATCTGCTAACTACTAGAGGTAATTCTAAGACCAGAAGGTCCCGAAATAACGTGCTCAACGTTTTGGCTCAGCTCTGGTACACTCTTCGGTCCCAAGCTAATCGATGCAACCCTCGAAACATAGGAAAATCCACGAACCCATCATTTTATCTGTCAAACTTTCATAGCGAATCAAAACAAACATAGTGTAGTAGTAGAATTTCGACTGGATTGGGGTACGTTAATCGATTTGCTACGCCTATCGATTCGGCGAACCCCTCGACTTCCTGTGAGTAAGAGAAGTGAGTAGCGGGACCCGTCACTGATCTCGCAGAGTCGGTACATACCTCACCTCGATCTCTTGTTGCTCGATTCGCTCTCGAACAAAGTTGTACAGGATGTCAAGATGTTTGAGCCGTTTTTGGTCCCTTGACTCCTTCGCAATTTGGATGCAGGACTGGTTGTACTCGAAGATGACAAGAGGTGCATCCAGCACAAAACCAAACTCTGTAACGAGATTTCGTAGCCACATTGCCTCGCATGCAGCCTGGCTCAGAGAAACGTATTCCGCCTCGGTTGAGGACAACGAAATGGTTGCTTGCTTGCGTGTAACCCATGTCACCGTGTTGCCGAAAACTTTGAAGCAGAATCCTGACGTGGATCTTCTATCGTTCACATCGCCGCCCCAATCTGCGTCCGCAAACCCGAGCAGTGGAACGTTCTCCTCGTCACGATGATAGAGAAAGGAAAACTCCTTCGTCCCTTGAAGGTAGCGTAGGACTCTTTTGAGAGCCTTCCAATCAGTCCGCATCGTGCTCTCTTGCCGTGCGGATCTATTTGCTTTTTGCTTAAGGAAGTGTTACTACTACCTAAAGCTACAACAAATTTAAACAGCACTTTTCAGTGCTCAACCTGTAAAAATTTTCTACCTTGTTCAACTCTTATTCCTCTTCGATCCTTGTTTGGACCCTACCCGAGGTAATCCTTCTTGGATATCGATTTGGAAAATTCCTCTTCGATCCTTCAGATTCTTATAGTAATCTGCTTGGAAGTCGATTTGGATAAAAATTTACTGCCGCCATGGCGCCTAAACGCAAAAGAAAGGGGCAAACTCTTGACCTCCCTTCTGATGATATTAATTTGAGTAATCAATTTGATTTGCTCACGGATGATGAGAATGATCCATCATCCAAGAAAAATTCTAGTAAACTTTCCCGGCTTAATGCCAAGAAGGAAAAGATTCCCCCTATTGTGTTAACCACTTCCGATTTCCATGCTCTTCGCATGGAACTTTTGAATTTCGTGAAAGTTAAGTTTTCACTACAAATTGGACGTCGGGGTGAATGCCGTGTATTGGCTGAAACCAAGGTGACTACAAATAGGTGTTCTAATGTGTCAAATTCATGATTCAGCCATGTTGGATTTTTGTATGGGACAGCGACCGAGTTTGTTTACAATTTGCTCTAAAACCGCACTTTTCCCCCCCCGCGACCTCCTCGCCTATATAGTGACAAAGCTGTATCACCATTTATATACCCACCATGGCTGAAACCTTGGACGGATTTAAATGTCTTCTCAAGTATCTTACTGAGAAAAAGCACACATTTTTTACTTACGACACCAAAACTGAACGTGTGTTCAAGGTTGTCATGAAAGGATTGCCCAGTGGTGAATCCCCGGATCAGATCAAAGACGAACTGGCAAAATTACTTGGAGTTGTGCCACTCCAAGTAATCAAAATGAAAATTAAATCCCGTCCTGGCGATTCGCGCAACGGTATTTCTAATGATTTTTATTTAGTTCACTTCAAGTCTTGTGAACTAAACAACCTTAAGGCCTTAGAAAAAGCTAGCCTTATGCTCCATGTCCGAGTGAAGTGGGAACACTTCAGGAAGACTGGAGGAAATTTCCAAAACCTCACTCAGGGCCGTAAGTGCCAGGGATGGGGTCACGGAACTAAAAATTGCTACATGCCAGGTAAATGCATGAATTGTGGTGATTCCTCTCACGCAAAGGACGACTGTCCTGTGAAGGAAGATCCTAAGAAATTTAAATGTTCAAACTGTGGTGAAAACCACAAATCCAATTTTTGGGAATGTAAGACTCGCAAAGCGATCTTACAATCTCGTTCTAACCGTCAGGTAGGAAACGCTCCACGTTTCCGACCAGGTACAAATTCCGCTGCTGTTAACAACGGTCAGCGAGGAACAAATTCTACATTCGTTCCCGTAGGTACAAATATCACCCCTGCTTCAAATGTTTCATCTGTACCTATTCCCCTCGCTGCTAACAATGTTCAGCGAGTTAATGGAGCTACCTATGCTGCTATTGCAGCGGGTAGAAATCAAAATACTAACCAACGTTCTAACGGAAATTTTGACAATTTTGACTTAGGAAGCATTACTGCTCCTAAAATGGAATTTTTACAGAATTCATTAATTGACATGATTTCTGATATGCCTAAATCTAACTCCATGTTTGATGCTATTCAAACTGGAATAAAATTTGCTAATAATATTGTCATGACTTTAAAATTCAGTAATGGATTTTAAAGCATTAAACATTTTAAATTGGAATGCTCGATCTCTTAAAGATAATGAAAACGAGCTATATATCTTGTGAGAGTTCATAACGTGCATATTGCCGTTATAACTGAAACGTTCCTTAAACCTAACCATAAGGTAAAGAAGGACGCAAACTATTTCATTTATAGAAACGATCGTCTAGATGGAGCTTGGGGTGGCGTTGCCATCATTCATAGACGAATCAACATAAAATTCTTTCTTAATTTGAAACCAAAGTTTTTGAAACTTTGGGAGTTTCTGTAGAAACAAAATTTGGACAACTTACGATTATAGCTGCCTATTTGCCATTCCAATGCGTAGGCCAGCAAAAGAATTTTCTCAAGGGTGACCTTCAGAAACTTACCCGTCATAGGTCTAAATTCTTCATTATTGGTGATTTTAATGCAAAACACCGCTCATGGAATAATGCTCAAAGCAATTCCAATGGTAATATTCTGTTTGATGATTGTTCTGCAGGTTATTACACTATTCAATATCCGAACAGTCCAAAATGCTTTTCTTCTGCAAGAAATCCCTCAACTATTGATTTGGTCTTAACTGATTCATGTCAACTTTGTAGCCAATTGGTTACCCATGCTGACTTCGGTTCTGATCACCTTCCAGTAACTTTTGAAATATCCCAAGAAATAATTTGTAATCCCAACAGCTCTACTTTCAATTACCATAGGGCTGATTGGGAGCAATATCGAACATTTAAGGAACATAACTTCGATTCAAACATTCCTTTGCAAACCAAAGATGAAATTAATTATGCTCTTGAATCTCTGACTACTTCTATAGTTGAAGCAAGAGCTGCCTCAGTACCAAAATGCGAGGTTAAATTCGATTCAATTATAATAGACGATGATCTTCAGCTCTTGATCCGTCTTAAAAATGTCCGTAGAAGACAATTTCAAAGAACACGCGATCCTGCCATGAAAGTTATCTGGCGGGATTTGCAAAAACAAATTAAAAAGCGATTCTCTGCCCTGAGGAACAAAACTTTTGAAAATAATGTTTCTAAATTAGACCCAAGTTCCAAACCCTTTTGGAAACTCACAAAAATTTTGAAAAAACCTTAAAAGCCAATTCCAGCGCTTAAAGAAGGTGGTAACATTTTGATCACAAATTTGGAAAAAGCTCAGAAACTTGCTAAGCAATTTGAGAGTTCCCATAATTTCAGTTTGGGTCTTACTAGTCCTATTGAGAATCAGGTTGCTCGGGATTTTCGGAATATTTTCTCTCGGGAAAATGTTTTTGATGATTCCTGGGGGACTGATTTGGACGAAGTAAGGTCTATAACTAAAAAATTTCAAAATATGAAAGCTCCAGGTGATTATGGAATTTTCTATATCCTCATCAAAAAACTCCCAGAGAGTACCTTGTCTTTCTTGGTAAAATTATTTAACAGATGTTTCCATTTGGCATACTTTCCTGATAAATGGAAAAATGCAAAAGTTGTTCCAATTTTGAAGCCGGATAAAAGTCCAGCTGAAGCTTCTAGCTACCGTCCAATAAGTTTGCTTTCTTCAATAAGTAAACTTTTTGAAAAAATAATTTTTAATAGAATGATGCTTCACATCAATACGAACTCAATTTTTGCAGATGAGCAGTTTGGATTTCGCCATGGGCATTCAACTACTCATCAACTCTTAAGAGTTACCAATTTAATTCGTTCAAACAAATCTGAAGGCCACTCAACTAGAGTTGCCCTTCTAGACATAGAAAAAGCATTCGACAGTGTTTGGCATGAAGGTTTGATTGCTAAATTGAAAAAGTTTAATTTTCCACTTTACATTATGAAATTAGTTCAAAATTATTTAACTGACAGAACTCTACAGGTAAATTATCAAAATTCCAAATCTAATCGACTACCTGTTAGGGCAGGAGTTCCTCAGGGTAGCATTCTTGGGCCTATATTGTATAACATTTTCACTTCGGACCTCCCTGATTTGCCTCAGGGTTGCCACAAATCTTTGTTCGCTGATGACACAGGCATTTCCGCTAAAGGAAGAAGTCTTCGTGTTATTTGCAGCAGACTGCAGAAAAGTTTAGATATTTTCTCTTCTTATTTACAAAAATGGAAGATTTCTCCCAACGCTTCCAAAACTCAACTTATAATATTTCCACATAAGCCTAGAGCTTCGTTTTTGAAACCTAGTAGTAGTCACATAGTCACTATGAACGGAGTTCCAATTTCCTGGTCAAACCAAGTGAAATATCTTGGATTAGTTCTTGACCAAAAATTAACTTTTAAAGATCACATTGAGGGCATTCAAGCTAAATGTAACAAATA